TCATTCTGTTGTTTTTGAGATTGCATCCAAGTACTGCTTTTGAGACTCTTTTGTTGACCATGATGGTTACTCCATTTCTTCTAAGGGATTCCTGCCCACAGTAGTAGACATAATGGTCATCTGGTTTAAATTCACCCATTCCAATCCATTTTAGTTCGCTAATTCCTAGAATGTCGACATTCACTCTTGCCATCTCCTGTTTGACCACTTCCAATTTACCTTGATTCATGGACCTAACATTCCAGATTCCTATGCAATATTGCACTTTAATACTGCGTGATAATTGTTACAAACAAGATCCATTGATGAATGGTAAAATTAATGGGCAAAATTTTGAGAAGGAACAGGATATTTAGTTTAGAGTTGTAGTAAGCTGAAGACTTGACCTGGAGTTTGTGGAGCTGCTTCCAAGACTGTTTACTCACATGGATATTGGATGGAGGTCTCATTTCCTCTCCAATAAAGCTGCTTTAGGGCTTTTGTGACAAAGGAGTTGTCTTCCTGAAGAAGTGATCCAAGAGAAACAGCAAAGAGAAAGACACAATGCCTTTTGTGACTCACTCTGAAATCACAAAATCACACAGCAGAAATCTATTCTGTTTGTTCAGTTCAGTTCAGTTCAGTCACTCAGTTGTGTCCGACTCTTTGCAACCTCATGGACTGCAGCACTTGAGGCCTCCGGGTCCATCACTGGAGTTTACTCAAACTCAAGTCCATTGAGTCAGTGATGCCATCCAACCTCTCATCCTCTGTCATCCCCTTCTCCTCCTGCCTTCAGTCTTTCCCAGCTTCAGGGTCTTTTCAAATGAGTCAGTTCTTTGTATCAGGCGGCCATAGTATTGGAATTTCAGCTTCAGCATCAGTCTTTCCAAAGAATATTCATGACTGATTTCTTTTAAGATGGACAGGTTGGATCTCCTTGCAGTCCAAGGGACTCTCGAGTCTCCTCCAGCCCCACAGTTCAAAAGCATCAATTCTTCGTTGCTCAGCTTTCTTTATAGTCCAACTCTCACATCCATATGTTACTCCTGGGAAAACCATAGCTTTGACTGGACAGACCTTTGTTGGCAAAGCAGTGTCTCTGCTTTTTTTTTTTTTTTGTCTCTGCTTTTTAACATGCTGTGTGGGTTAGTCATAACTTTTCATCCAAGGAGTAAGCACCTTTTAATTTCATGGCTGCAGTCCCCATCTGCAGTGATTTTGGAGCCCCCAAAAAGTAAAGTCTGCCACTGTTTGTATTGTTTCCCCATCTATTTATCTTGAAGTGATGGGACCAGATACCATGATCTTAATTTTCTGAATGTTGAGCTTTAAGCCAACTTTTTCATTCTCCTCTTTCATTTTCATCAAAAGGCTTTTTAGTTCTTCACTTTCTTCCATAAGGGTGGTGTCATCTGCATATCAGAGGTTATTGATATTTCTCCCGGCAATCTTGATTCCAGCGTGTGCTTCATCCAGCCTGGCATTTTGCATGATGTGCGTACTCAGTCACTTCAGTCATGTCCAACTCTCTGTGACCCCATGGACCATGGCCTGCTGGCTTCTCTGTCCATGGGATTTTCCAGGCAAGAGTACTGGAGTGGGTTGCCATTTCCTTCTCCTCGCATGATGTACTCTGCATAGAAGTTAAATAAGCAGGGTGTCAATATACAGCCTTGACATACTACTTTCACAATTTGGAACCAGTCTGTTGTTTCATGTCCAGTTCTTACTGTTGCTTGTTGACCTGCATACAGATTGCTCAGGAGGCAGGTCAGGTGGTCTGGTATTCCCATCTCTTTAAGAGTTTTCCACAGTTTCTTGTGATCCACACAGTCAAAGGCTTTGTCATAGTGAATAAAGCAGAACTAGATGCTTTTCCAGAACTCTCTTGCTTTTTCGATGATCCAGTGGATATTGGCAATTTGATCTGCAGTTCTTCTGCCTTTTCTAAACCCAGCTTGATCATCTGGCAGTTCTCAGTTCACATACTATTGAAGCCTGGCTTGGAGAATTTTGAACATTACTTTCCTTGAGTGTGAGATGAGTGCAATTGTGCAGCAGTAGTTTGAACATTCTTTAGCATTGCCTTTGGGATTGGAATGAAAACTGACCTTTTCCAGTCCTTTGCCCACTGCTGAGTTTTCCAAATTTGCTGGCATATTGAGTATAGCACTTTCACAGCATCATCTTTTAGGATTCAAAATAGCTCAACTGGAATTCCATCACCTCCACTATCTTTGTTCATAGTGATGCTTCCTAAGGCCCACTTGATCACACTCCAGGATGTCTGGCTCTAGGTGAGTGATCACACCATTGTGATTATCTGGGTCGTGAAGATCTTTTTTATATAGTTCTTCTGTGTCTTCTTGCCACCTCTTCACACCTTCTGCTTCTGTTAGGTCCATGCCATTTCTGTCCTTTATTGTGCTCATCTTTGCAAGAAATGTTCCCTTGGTATCTCTAATTTTCTTGAAGAGATCTCTAGTCTTTCCCATTCTATTGTTTTCCTCTATTTCTTTGCATTAATCACTGAGGAAGGCTTTCTTATCTCTCCTTGCTATTCTTTGGAACTCTGCATTCAAATGGGTATATCTTTCCTTTTCTCCTTTGCTTTTCGCTTCTGTTCTTTTCACAGCAATTTGTAAGGCCTCCTCAGACAACAATTTTGCCTTTTGCACTTCTTTTTCTTAAGGGTGGTCTTGATCCCTGCCTCCTGTACAATGTCATGAACCTCTACCCATAGTTCTTCAGGCACTCTCTCTGTCAAATCTAATCCCTTGAATCTATTTCTCACTTCTACTGTATAATCATAAGGGATTTAATTTAGGTCAGGTATGACTATACCTGACCTAAATCTAGTGTTTTTCCCTACTTTCTTCCATTTAAATTTGAATTTGGCAATAAGGACTTCATGATATGAGCCACAGTCAGCTCCTGGTCTTGTTTTTGCTGACTATATTGAGCTTCTCCATCTTTGACTACAAAGAATATAATCAATCTGATTTTGGTATTGACTATCTGGTGATGTCCATGTGTAGAGGCTTCTCTTAAGTTGTTGGAAGGGGCTGTTTGCTATAACCAGTGTGTTCTCTTGGCAGTAGTCTGATAGCCTTTGCCCTGCTTCATTCAGTACTCCAGTGCGTAATTTGCCTGTTACTCCAGGTATTTCTTGACTTCCTGTTTTTGCATTCCAGTATTGTTTGTTAGCTATCTTAAAACCACCACTGGGAAAGGGCATCTCTAGCCTAGTAATTCTTTTTTTCTCGCTAAGAGTTCCCACTTCCCCTGTTGTTGCCTGTTTCCAATGCTTCCAATTTTGATTCCTCTTTTTGTGACTTGCCTCAGGGCTAATCCTGGGCAAGATTACTGTGATAAGATTTGTAGTGGAAAAGAGAAGGTCAGTCCAGTCAGTTCAGTTCAGTCGCTCAGTCGTGTCCAACTCTTTGCCACCCCATGAATCGTAGCACGCCAGGCCTCCCTGTTAGTGTTCACCATTTCCTACTTTTATCCATGACAAACCCTTCCTTACCTCAGTCTTATATTATCCACCTCCCACTTAATGTAATAAATTGTCCAGAACCCACCTGTGAATCCATAAGACTTAGACAAGCCTCTTTAATAGCAATGATCATGTTGTATGTTAATGATCATGTTAACCATTTTTCATGTCTGTTCTCAATATCATGTTCATATCTGAATATCCAGGGCCTACCATAATGCCTAAAAGATCCTTAATGGGCAAATGGGTTTTCTTTTGAGATGTAAATATGCTTAAGAACCTTAAATTAAAGATGCTAATTTAGCTATCTGGGCCTTTGTCTATCCTAACTTTGGAAGGGCAGGGGAAGAGAGAGCTCCTTTCAGCCTATTTCCTCTTTTCACAAGCAAATACTCTAGGTTTTGCTACCCCTTTGCCCAGCTTTATTCATTGTTCAGTCCCTAAGTTGTGTCTGATTCTTTGTGACCCTGTGGACTGCAACATGCCAGGCTTCCCTGTCCTTCACTATCTCCCGGAGTTTTCTCAAACTCATGTCCCTTGAGTCAGTGATGCCCAGCTACCTGTGGGAGACTTCTGGAGTCGCCTTCTTTCTGCATACTTGTTCCTACTGCAGATTCTTCTCTTTGGACTCCCTTTCTCATCTCTCCCTATTCCTGGTATAAACCCGTTGCCTCCCTGGCTCCCTGGCCTGCAGGTCTTGTCCATCCAGCTGCACCTCACACCTCACTGAGAACTGGGATTTGGGATTCCCTCTGCTGCTTCTTCCCCCTGCAACCATGGGCAATTCCACCCATTCCTACGTCAGCTGGCTCCTGAGGCCCAGCCCAGCCAGGGCCTGATTGGTCCCTAGCTCTCTGTCATCCCTTCTATCATCTTTCTGCCAAAGGGAGGTGAGACACAGTAAATCTTGATATTGGGGCAGAACTCGATGTCGTTTGGGCTGACCTGCTAACTTAGTTCGTATGACACTTTTTCCTGTGGGGAAAAATGAAACTAAATAAATGACCTATAAAAACTTCATAAATAAATATAAATTGTTTATTATCTCTGGGTCAAGAAGATCCCTTGGAGAAGGAAATGGCAACTGACTTCCGTATTCTTGCCTGGGAAATCCTGCAGACAGAGGAGCCTGGCGGCCTATAGTTCACTGGGGTTGCGAAGAGTCAGACATGACTGAGGGACTAACACTTTCATAACAAGCTTAATAAATAGAAGTTGTTTATTAAAAGTCATAGAATTTTCATATGGGAAGGAATCTGATAATACTCCATTACCAGTACTCATTTTACACTTTAAATACTCAAAGTTCAGGTGGGTTGAATAATTTTTTTAACAGTCATGTTTTCTGATGTAGAATTTCATATTGCAGCTGACTTAATTTCACACCTAGGTAAATCTGCAACATTTTTTCTTCCAGAGTAGAAATTTTGAATTATTCTAACATTATTTATTAAATTTCATGTTTCACTTATATTGGTATATATTTACAAGAATTACAACACTTTTCTTTCTAACCCAGATTTAGGTCGATCTCGAGAACTTCAGTACGTGTACGTGGATAACAACATTCATCTGAAAGGCTTGCCATCCTTTCTGTACAACAAAGTCATCGGGTGCAGTGGGTAAGGCTGATTTCACATTTTATACTAATGCTCAGCTCTTTTGCTAGCTTTATTTCTACTTCAGTACTTAGCCCTGATAAAACTCCAAAAGAGTTGTATGACTTTTGATAGTCAGTTTTGTTTTGACACTTAACATGCTAAACCAAATATCCTTAGAAACCAAAAATATTGAACAAGCAATTAGGGTATTTTATTTTGAGTTTAGTTAGTAAGTTATAAATTTGGTCACTTATTTGTTGTTTTCCAGGTAAAAGAAAAATTAATCCATGCATATCATTATAAACTCAGTAGTATCAGTCACAAATACTGGAGGAATTAGCATTAATGTAAAAGTTTTTCTTTTCTTTCCTTTGCAGTGACAATTTTACTACGCTCTCAACCCTAGTATCTGGGATTTTACCAATTGAAAATATTTACAGCTTGATATTTGAAATAGTCCCTTAATACAAATCATGATTCCAGCAACCAAAGCAGATGTTTAAGTTAATAGGAAATGAAGAACTTTTATTTTCAGGACAGCATTAATCTTTCCTTCTCAGTTAGGCTTTTAGAAAGATAATGTCAGCTTTTCCTTCTAGAACAGTGAGACAGAACCACCCTGAAGTGGTTCCCAGAGTGGCATGGGCTTAATACAAGACAGCTCAGCTGCCAGGACCAACTTTTGACTGGCCTCACTTTCCTCACTTAAGCAGCCACAGGATACTTGGAACACCTCTGAGGCTACTTAGCCAACATGTTGACTCTCTCCTTATAATTTCAAACATCCTGAATAACCTGACTCATACTCTATGTAGTTCTGGCAAAAAAAGGGATGACAATAAGCCTGTACATAGAGACAGCCATTCCCCTGCTGGCCTGGCTCCAGGGGATGGGCCCGGAGCAGTGATTGTTCCAGAGAGGGTAATCCTAGGAGTAGTGGCCTTCCCCTAGGAAAAATTATGTACTTGTTATCTTGGAAGAGCCCTCGATCAATTCAGTGCCTGTGTAGGCTGATGAAATATAAGCCCAGAGATATATTCCAGAACTCTCTGTGAAGAACAGATAGTAGAATATGTGGTAAGAGTTTTTAGCTCAGTGATTTTCTGCAGCTGATCATGTGACAGCTGTGATACTACTCACTCATTAATCCTAATAAGTTCTTAAAATATCTATAATATAGCCTAATTTTTCCAAGTGGTGAGTAAAATACCCTTAGTCACCAAGATGCATGTAATGATGCAAGCAGGCTCCAAGGCTGAAGGCAGTTTTTTCTACACCAAAGCCTTCAGAGACTGCACTGTAATATGATCTAAAATTTCTGCCACAATTAAGGAATAGCTCTTACTTGAGATAAAGAGGCTTCTTTGGTGTTTAGATATAGCTATTACTGACTGCCACAAGGTTCTGTTTGTGCCGAGTTGAGAGATACATATTTCCTTGTATTTATTTTTAATTTTTGGCCACACCATATGGCTTGCAGGATCCTAGTTCTCTGACCAGGGATTGGACCTGGGCCCATGGCAGAGAGAGCACTGAGTCCTAACCATGGGACCACCAGGGAATTCCACCCCCAACCCCTGCACTTTTTTTTTTCATTATTTATTCTTTTTTTTTTTCCATTTATTTTTATTCATTGGAGGCTAATTACTTTACAATATTATAGTGGTTTTTGCCATACATTGACATGAGTCAGCCATGGATTTACATTTGTTTCCCATCCTGATCCCCTCTCCCACCTCCCTCCCCACCCCATCCCTCTGGATCTTCCCAGTGCACCAGCCCTGAGCACCCGTCTCATGCATCCAACCTGGGCTGGTGATCTCTTTCACCCTTGATAGTATACCTGTTTCAGTGCTGTTCTCTCTGAACATCCCACCCTCGCCTTCTCCCACAGAGTCTAAGAGTCTGTTCTGTACATCTGTGTCTCTTTTTCTGTTTTGCATATAGGGTTATTGTTACCATCTTTTAAAATTCTATATATTTGCATTAGTATACTGTATTGGTCTTTATCTTTCTGGCTTACTTCACTCTGTATAATGGGCTCCAGTTTCATCCATCTCATTAGAACTGATTCAAATGAATTCTTTTTAATGGCTGAGTAAAATTACATAGTGTATATGTACCACAGCTTTCTTATCCATTCGTCTGCTGGTGGGCATCCAGGTTGCTTCCATGTCCTGGCTATTATAAACAGTGCTGCAATGAACCCCTGCACTTTTAAAAATATATTGTCATTGTTGACTTAGCATCTGGTAGCACAGTGAGTGAGTTTTATGAGAGCTTCACATCTTTGAGAAAATAAAGAGTAAGGCAAGATATGCCAATTATTCGTAGATAGTCTACACTTTTTATTATTATTAGCATATTCCTTTGGTAGTAATAATAAGATAAAATTATTAAAAGGAGAGTTATCAAGCAATCAGTTTTCTAATATCATTGGTTTTTTGGAGGGTTGGCAGTCCCATCTACCAATGAAATGTAATCCAAAAGGTATTTTTAATCTATCGGTTTAACTCAGAATTCATTTTGTATAGAAGAAGAATTGGTGGTTATACTCCTAACCAGCTCATTAAATGGTCATTTAATCCACTTTGCACCCCAAAAGTTACACTTACTTATAAAATATTTCTGTGCAAAAATGTATTCAAAATTCTAATAATATTCAGTCAATTAGTTGTGTCTGACTCTTTGTGACCCTGGGGACTACACCACACCAGGCTTCCCTGTCCTTCACCATCTCTGGAGCTTGCTCAAACTCCTGCGCATTGAGTCATTGAGGGCATCCAACCATCTTGTCCTCTGTCATCCCCTTCTCCTGCCTTCAATCTTTCCCAGTATCAAGGTCTTTTCTAATGAGTCAGCTCTTCGCATCAGGTGCCAAAGTATTGGAGCTTCAGTTTCAGCATCAGTTCTTCTAATGAATAATCAGGTTTGATTTCCTTTAGAACTGACTGGTTTGATCTCCTTGCAGTTCAAGGGACTCTCAAGAGTCTTCTCCAACACCACANCAATAATCTACTTCAGCACACCATGACTCCCTGATTAGAGGCTAAGCTCCATGAGGGCCCACACAGGTCTATTCCGTTCGCCAAGAGCCCAGAATGTGCCTGAGTGGGTTTGCCAACCTTACCTGCCAGGAGCTCTGCCTCATGTCCCACTTCCCCTGGTCTCCAATCATGTCCCTCAAAGCCATCTCCGGCCAGCCAGTCTTGGCCTGCTCAACTGGTGATTTCTCCTACCCATCTGACTGAGGATCATCAAACATGCATAGAGGAGGGTATGCTAAGACATGCTCTTGGCCACAGTAAGCTTTATGTGACTTCACAGTAAACTAATATGACGTTAACATGATAGGATACTCAGAGTTTCTCTAGAGGTGAAAGGCAAAGTCAGAGAGATATGTATAAAATTGAAGAAAACTGTACCCAATGTTATTTGCAAGGTGTTTGAAACATGTAAGCTATAGAGAGAAATCAGCTCTAAACCCACACTTGGACCCCCTCACAGAGGTACCTGAATTTGTGAGAAAACCACTTTTGTCCAAGCTTGCAGCCAGGAAAGCAGATAGACACCTTGGCTCCTTGGCTATTTTAACCCCTGTGGCCTTTAAGTAAGATGGAGATGTCTGAGTTCCTTATTTCCCACAAAAGAATAACACCGTACAAATTTTCTTGAGAAAAATTCACATAAAACAAATTCATGAAGCTTTTAAAAATCCTGTTTAATACTGTCATAATCATTATCAGTTAAGGAATCTAAAGGGCTGAGCCTCAAAATACTCAGAGATAATACCAGTGACCTTGATAAGCAGTCTTTGTTGAATGTCAGTACCCATTATTTGAAATATTAAATAACCTTTCAGGAGTATTGCAGAAAGCTGTATTTAGCTGGGAGGCAACCTTGGTAGCATTTCTCAGTGCCTTGTGGGTAATAGGGTCCCAAGCAGGAATACAAAGCTGTGTCCTATTAACCTTTGTTCCCAGACCTAAAGATGTTTTGCTGTGACATTAATACCTAGGCAAGTTGATTTTTCACTAAGCAATGTATAAGCAATTTCAATATATTTATATATTCTCCAATACGAAAACCAGTTCCCAGACTAATGGGAGAGCTTTGCACTGGAAGTAAGAGCCCAGTGCTGGGCATTCTGTGTGAACTACACAATTTGAATCATCTGAGAAAATGAGAATATGCATCTCATGCCAGGAAAAATCAAGCATGTTTTATACAGCCATAGTCACAAAGTATTGGGTAGGCCAAACAGTTCATTTAGAGTTTTCCACACTATCTCACTGAAAAACTCAGACTTTTTGGCCACCATAGTTACTATGTAATGAGGGTTACCTGAAGGAGATGGGAATCCTTGCAAGCAAAGGTTAAGTTAACTAATATCCAGAAAGCAGCCTACACAATGCTCAAGCCTAACTGGATTTTTAGAGGATATTCTGAGGCAATTGATGGTCGCCGGGTTTATACATAACCTCACATGCCAGACATTTAGTTTTGTGTCTCCTTTGTTGTTGTCTAGTCACTGTTGTGTCCAAGTGTTTGCAATCCAAGAGACTGAAGCACATCAGTCTTCCCTGTCCTTTACCACCTCCCAGAGTTTGCTCAAATTCATGTCCATTGAGTCAGTGATGCCATCCAACCATCTCATCTTCTGCCATCCGCTTCTAGTCCTGCCCTCAATCTTTCCCAGCATCAGGGTCTTTTCCAATACGCTGATTCTTCGCATCAGGTGGCCAAAGCATTGGAGCTCCAGCATCAGTCCTTCCGATGAATATCAGTGTTGATTTCCTTTAGGATTGACTGGTTTGGTCTCCTTGCTGTCTAAGGGGCTGTCAAGATAGGTAAGGAGAAACAACGATAAGAAAGGATTTTGCACTGAACTGTAGACTCTTTCCAAATATTTTATTATTTGTCCAATATCCCTGTACACATGACTAGCTACAGACCCCATAACTAAGATGTCTTCCTGCAATACTATTAACTACTTATCAAAAGAGGGGTTCCATTTTGCC